TTACAACAATATCTTGCTTGCATTTTATTCAAATAATTCTTAAAAACAGCTTAAAAAGCCGTTTGGAATAACATCAAGCTTGCCATCAATCAAACGAAAAAATTCCGCTGGCGGTTGTATAAACATCAGATCAAGTCTGATGTCTTCAAGGATTTCAGAGTGAACCATAAAAAACTCCATTAACTTCTGACAAAGAATGCAAATTAATCACAACATGGGGTGAAATGAAATTAAAGGCTCTTTTCTAATCAATGACAAGGCGGGATGAAATATTTGTTACTCTCTCTGCACTCAGACTGCCTGGGATGTTTGCGCTTCCCTCGCGAAGCCCCAAATGCAAGGTGTGAGCACAGATTCACCCGCAGTTGCCGTAAGGTTCTCCTGGCACCCCCCCCCCCCCCCAGCTATCTGCTTACCAGTCGTGGGGATTCACAAAACACACTAATCATCTGAATCTCAGGTGCATCCAATTTGTTATTCACACTCTCCCATGCCAGTGAAAAGCCTGGCGCAGACAGATGCACCGGGAACCCTAAATGACAGTTTTGGCCTCCGGAAGTACGATCACTACCACAAAATCTAGTACAGCCTCCAGGTGAAATGTCTGCAGCTCCATATGGAGCAGGGAAAATTAACAACAAGATGAAAATCACGGCAGCAGCGGGGAGTCGGAAGTTTTGAAAAAAAAAATGAAATTTAAAGATGAAGAAAGAGAAGTAATAAATTAATGGGGTGTGAAAACATTCAAAGCTTTACAATACCAGGGGCACTATTTGCTCAGATTTTTTTCCTTTTTTTAACTTCAGGTCATTTTGATGTAATTTATTAACCAAGATCAGGAATTGTAGCCAAAAGAACAACAACATTTGTATACACACAAAAGTACTTTAAATACATTTGTATCTGTGTTATCTTCACTTTCCTGTGGCATCCTGCTTACCAAATTTCCAAATGCCAGGGCTGCCGCGTCCCCTGAGAAGGCTCCTTAATGGATTCACTACCGGCTTAATGCAGGGTAAATTTGTAAAGTTTGAATGAAGGATGACAATTTTTAGCAGGCAATCTTTTTCATTTCTCCTAAATTATGGTGTCATTAAACAAACCATTGCCCACCATCATGTTTTTTAAGTCAACTGAATTTGGATCTAAATGATGAACTATACACAGCTCCAGTCCTTGTCCAGACCTGAGCATCTTTCCAGATTACTGATAATGCTCAACTGTTGAAGAAGTGGAGATACTTTCTGGTGGCGAGACGTTTAAAAACACAATTCTTCATGATCCTATTGCTTCGCAGGCACCCAGAATTTAATGGCACTGGTGTCGGGGAGAGCTCTGGAGCCCTCCAGACCCTTGGATCACTCTGCTAAACACACAGTAGGAAAAGCACTAGGGCTCTAGGGAACGGCCTATCATCATCTACCATGGCATGGCCCCCCATGTTTGGCATTTCTCATCCACAAAAGAGGGCCCCTGGAGTGGAAAAGGCAAACCAGGAGAAGGGCTTGGAGGGGCTCAGGGGGAAGAAGGGTGGCATGAACAGCCAACCGCATTCAGAGTCCACAGAGCCCAGGCATTTGGTTAGCTGCCTGCAAGTCCTAGGCCTACCTGCACCCACTCAGCCCTGAGGCAAGGGGCCTCACCTGTCCAAGCCTCAGTCTTCTCACCTGGAGGCTGGGAATAACAGCCCCTGTGAGGGGGATAGATAGCCCGAGTCAGATACAGGAAGCGATCTGAAGCTCGATGTCGGAAAGGTGAATCAGAGACATTGCTGTTTTTCTTTTTTTTTTTTTTTTAAAGATTTTTTATTTATTTATTTGACAGACAGAGATCACAAGTAGGCAGAGAGGCAGGCAGAGAGAGAGGAGGAAGCAGACTCCCCGCCGAACAGAGAGCCCGATGCGGGGCTCGATCCCAGGACCCTGGGATCATGACCTGAGCCGAAGGCAGAGGCTTTAACCCACTGAGCCACCCAGGCGCCCCCATTGCTGTTTTTCTATCATAAGTTGTAGTAACATGACTGTGCACTTACAGTGGCTCCTGAACTTTTTTCCAACAGAGTCCTAAACTGCATGCCAATGAGGCTATGCAACTTTAAGGCCTAAAGGGAAGAAAACTAGACAGTGCTTCCCAATAACAAGTACAAACCTAACTCACAAAACAATGGAGTTCCTACAGAATGATCATCTCAACAAAAAAATCCAGTCCTTTGATCTTTATGGTGGCCCCAGGCCACCAACTCTCCCTGATACATTCCTGACACCCTTCCCTCATCTGCGTCCCCACTGGATACACAGTGTGTCGCCGGCAGGAAGAGGCACTGCTAACGACACTGTCAAGCAGCACTGATGCTGGGCCGGTGGAGGGACAAGTCTCTAAGCGGGCCTCTCCTCCCTGCTTTCTTCTCTGCTCAGGCCATGCTCTGTTCTGGCCGCAGCTGGCAGGTTGCTGAGCACATCCTTTTTTGCGAACTTTGGTGGACGATTAGAAATTCTGTTCTGTGCTTTGAGTTCAAAGTAGCCATGTCCTGGGATTGTTCTCAGCCCTGGACAGAAGGGATGCAAAACTATGTGATCATGAGCACCTATGAAAGGTTTTCATGTGTTCAAGGACCGGACCAGTGGGTGACAATTAGGATGAAGCAGTCAGTCCTTGGCTAGGTGAACAGAACTCTGCTTTGACTGGATGGCTGTTTCTAAAGCAGTGAGTTTCCTATCGCTCGAGGTATTCAAGCAGAGTGTAGATGTCTGCTTCCAGAATATGGTACAGAGGTTTGATTCGATAATGTCTGTGATTCACTCCTGCCTACTACACTTGGGATTCCATGGAACCAACCCCACTACAGTTCAACACTGAGCAAATCGAACATTCCGTATGCCTCATTTATGGAGGGGATGCCATCTCACAGAGTGGCTTGGGGTTCATGTGAGATACGATGGGGCAAACAGAAGGTATTATTCAAATCCAGTGTCTGGAATACTATGAAAATAAACACTGTTCCTCATGTACTTTGAGGACAAAGTGAAGGGCATGAAAGACATCAATACAGTACCCTTTCCCAGTCTCCAGTCTGTCGTGCAACACCAATAAAATAAATGCCAACTCAACCAAACGTCACTGCTGATTCTAGCCAATGAAGCACACAAACTCTGTTGAAAGATCTGGGAAATAGGCCTAATGGCATCAAAGCTGCTTCTATTATTTCAAATAAAACTCCCAGTTTGGTGACAATATTCTATCACGATTCAAGGAATATGGCTTTCCCCCCACTCTGGCATCAAGGTTATTACTAACTAGGGAGTCCAGCACATTAGAATTTTCCAGCTTCCACTTGACTGATCAAGTAAACGTATACTTAAACATTTGAGAAAACAGAACTGCAAAGGTGTACAGCCTCCTTCCCAAATTTGACCAGAGCATCCAAATGCCTCATGTGTCAAATGCAACAGCTATCTGCTTCTTAGACTCATCTCTTACCAAATCTCACTGGTTAATTACTCGACACATTAGGAATCTCAAGAATATAGCTACGTTCTCAATCTCTGGCACTTTTATGAGATGGCTTACAAGTTTTTTACTAAGCCTTCTCAGAGAGAAGTCACGTAACAGGGTCTCTGCATTTACAAAATTTTAGGGGATTGCATAAACCGGTCGAACAGTGAATTGTTTAAAAATTACTGACAGAATAAGAGGCTTACCAAGATAAATATTCTAATGAGCTATAAATCCTGAAAATGTGATTTTAATTTGATGGGCTACCTAGAGCTAAGCAGCAAGGCTGTATACACTAAAATCTGACTAAATGCTAGCATGCATGCCAAGTGATTACATTTTAGATTTTTTTCCTCTTTAAGGAAAAGATTATGTTTAAACAAAGAAGCCTACAAATTTGACAAGCGAGTGTAACACTCTTGAACCTAATAACTTAGACAATTTCTCTCCCACTCATCCGATGGCTTTAACTGTAAAAGAAAAAGGATACAAAAGACACATTTCAGCAAGTGAAGGGTCTTTAAATGTCCACATGGGTACCAGGAGAATTTGCTTAAAACAGCTTATAAAGATGGTAGAGTGAAAGAGCCCCATCCTATTATTCAATAACCATGTTTGTGATGCATCTGCATAATCTAACCATGCATAAATTAGTATGTGTAATACAACACTTATTTGCATAATAATAGCAAGTTAATAGATGCTTAAAGAGCAGAGACCAACACCACCTTTAAATCAGACATGCCTCCAGGCACTTTGGCCTGTACAGACCAAGATGCCAGAAAAACAGTGAGCACCAACCAGAGGAAAACAGTCAATCTGTGCATTTTTCATCCTTCTAGACATTTCACTTATTTCACCCGGCACACACCAGGGAATCATTTTCCAACCACGAAACAGCTTTATATTTTAAGTGCTAGCACCCTTCTACATAAAAATCTTAAAGAAATTATAAAGATTGTCATCAACAATGGTAATATAATGGACAGTTTGTTTTCTTACAAATGTGGATAGGAAGTGGCCAATTTTAAAAAAAAATAGTATGTTCGGAATCACACCCCCATAAAATTGGGGCCTGACTATTTGTTTAGCAAAAGTGATGATCCAGATCAGGTATTTTCACCCTTCATCTCAACCCTTTAGTTGAAATAATTTTAATTGAAACCAAAAGCTCAAACAGTGTATCAAGAAAAGGCTGTGCCTCTCCTCTAACCTCAGTGTGAGCACATGGCACAGGGCTAGGATAAGGCAAAACATCACCAATGTCACACAAAGGAAGAGCACGATGATGCCTTTCAACCTTTAACAAAGAGGGGAAAAAAAAAATCTGGAGTTTAAAAAAATAAAAAATCAATAGAGACTTCTAAATGACTCCTTTAAGATATCACTTTTCAATTTAACAGAACAGATTTATTTGTATGTGGCTCAAATGTTCACAATTGTTCCCTGCACCTTCATACATAGGAATGAATGTCACAGTGGCAAACGGCAGTAATGAACAATCTTACCTGAGGATATGGAAACCTCCCAAGAGCAAGCTGGGAAAGGAAATAATATTTGTCTAGTTATAGATTTGCATGCAGGGCAGATCTCTTTAAGACAGACAAGTACTCCGTTTCAGAACTACACCCAGCAACTATAAAAAGCTCACAACCCTAGATGCAGAAACTAAACTACTGCTGTAATTACATTAAAAGTTGTATTTAGAATGGACATTTTCAAAGGGCAATGCTGCACCCTGATAAAATATTCTAATTTTCACAACCGAACATTGCGATTATGTGGTTTCTCTTAGGAATGGTCCCAGCTCTACGGGCATTATTCACACATTGACCTGTATGCGACAGTTTTCATCTAGACAGGGATACAAAACCGGAGGAGACCACAGGCTTTTCCTCCTGTAAGATGGAAACACCTTACTGTTCGCAGCCCACGGTTCTGCAGAGTTTTTAGTAACAAGTACACAGGCAGTGTTGTAGGAAATGGGGATGGGCCATATGAAATAGAGAATTTTCCACTATTTTCATCAATGTATTAGTTTTTTCGTTCATTTTCTATCCACAGGAAAAAAAGACCTACCACTACTAGGAAAGTGGCCATTTCAAGGCTGCGAAGTTGGAACTACATAGCAGTGTAGGTAGGAAACTGGGACCATGACTCTATAAAGTGCTCCCAATTTTTTCTTGATTTGTAAACTGCCATGTGTTTCTAGGCCAGTCACTTAATTTTGGTCTTGGAATTCTCACGTGTAAAAACACAATGATTCAACCAGGAACAGAGTTGATATAAAGTAATAAGAGAAAACTGACCAAATATACTGTAACATAGTTAAAGAAAATAGTGGTGAAGTTTTGCAACTCATAATGTGGCCCACCCTCAGGCCTGAAATCCTTTCTGTACTTGTAACTCCTTTCAAAGTAGAATCACTGTATCAGGGAACTTTGAAGCTGGAATGAATCCAAGAGAGCAAAACCCACTTCACAGATTAGAACCCAAGAGTTCCATTGAAGAGGTTCCCACACAGTTAATCAGGAGAAGCCTGGGGCCTGACTCTAAGACTTGCAACTTAATCCAGCGTTCTTTCCATAGTTTTACATTGCTTTTCTACATCTTGCGAAGTTATGCATTTATCTGAAAAACGAGGACACTACAGAAACATTATCGAACTCTTTTGGAATCGTATTTAGAATCATTTCAAAGAACAAAAGAACACTTACTTCATTTTATTAGAACTGTATTTTATCTTGGACTTAAAATTATACCCCATCAGCTTTTTGGTCATGTGAATTATTTGTTGACTAAGGTTTGAATGGCCTGTGGTATTATCAAAACCCAAAGCCACCTTCAAAGAATAAATATTTTGTCCCTTAATAAGAACAGACATGAAGATGCTGAGGTTAATTTTCAAAGATCTAAAACCAGTCTGAGCAAGAGCAATGTAACAGGAATAAACCATACGACCTTGTAAGGTGACTGCTTTGAAAAGGCCAACACTCATTTGGATGTATATTTATATATATGTGTTTGTGTGTTCTGCAATGCCTAGTCAGTTTCATTACCTTCAGTCATTCTTATATGCTCAGAGTTCATCGATTTTCAAGACATAAAGTTATACTACCATTATTTCACTTAGTAAATATCATTAATCAAGGGATTAGTATAAAGTATAGATAGCAAAAACATCACATGATGGCACGATGGAGAGAGAGTGTGGAAGTTAATCAAATTCCCCTTTGGGTTTGTGTGATTATGTTTCTTGTCTACATACTGCTTTTTAAAAGATTTTATTTATCTGACAGAGAGTGAGAGAGAGTGCACAAGCAAGGGGAGCAGCAGAGGGTGAGGGAGAAGCAGACTCTCCGCCAAGCAGGGAGCCTGATGCAGGGCTCGATCCTAGGACCCTAGGATCATGACCTGAGCTGAAGGCATACACTTAACCGATGGAGCCACTCAGGTTCCCCTATATACTGTTTTAAATTAGAAAGGGGGGAGACGCCGCTCTCCAATCCCCCTACTCTAATCTTACCCAATACAGGCCATCCATTTGCCTTATATTTTGTTAATACAGTGTGTTTTTGGCCAATGAGAGTGCGCACATTGATTTAGGGGGAGCTGCTGTGGTCTACTATGGCAGTAATCGTAGGCAAAGCATTTGGACAAGTTGTTTTGACCTGACAGGCAGTGATAGCTCAAGAAAACCTGTCACCTGTCATCACACTCACCTGTGGATGGCAGGTTTTGCATATCCTTCCATTTGGAATTATCAAACTACCAAGAGGAGGATCTCTCATCTAAAAAAGCTAACAACGTAATGACGAGTAGACAACACTTAGAGTATTTTATCTCAAGCCATTCCAGAAGCACTGTGTCACTCACTCGGGTATATGGTTAATGTATCACTGAGGACGGTGGAAGAATCTGTCCACATGGCTTACCGGCAGAAGAACTCGCCCACAACACACAGAGTTAAAATCTAAATTAGGCCGGCTGGTACCAATGTGGGAGGCTGGTTTTTGTTAAAGGACAAAATAAGCAATGATAAACGGAAGGCTTAAAAAGAAGTGGCCTAAAATGAGAAATACAAATTCTTCCCACTTGAACACAAAGCCTCAAATTCTCAAGTCATTATTGTTCTCTGGCAAGGCCAGGCTACAGTCAACTTGGGAACGTGCACTCAGCTACTTGGTGCCCTCTGTCATAACTGGCACGATGTAATAAGGAGGACCGCTATCATTCATTTCCCCTATAAGATACCCCCATGCACACGGAGAGACAATTCAATGCAGGCTGGTCAGGTGGGAGCCTCTCCGTACCTGTCTGCTTGGAAACAGGTGGCTGGCAGTGCTTGAACCGGTGAACTCATCATTCCTGGGACTGGCTTTGCGTTGGGTGTACTTCCCTGACATCCTACGAAATTTCAGTCCTGTCAACTACATTCCCGGGGGAACTGAGCTCACGCACCTGGCAGCTCTGACCTCTCTGGAGCCAGAGGACAGAGAATGGTTTCTTGTCCTTGACCAGAGTGGAACAACCATAATTTCCTCTCTTGCAGCCTGTCACCACCGTGCTGCTCCAGGAGCAGGCCGAGGATTCCAATTTTGCACCACAATTTTGCAAACTGGCAGTGGCACCATTAGGCCGGTACCAAAAGCAGTCGTTTGAAGGCCCTGGGAGAGGAAGCTGCCTTCCGTGTATGTCCTGTCCTTCGAGGTTAAACGCAACTGTGGTGTTTTTGTTCCCCACTATTTGTCTTGCGGCAAAATAGAAGGAAATATATAGCCAGGCCCTAGACCCCTTTTATCAAGTTCAATTAGAAGGTAAGAAAGGAAAAGGTCTCTTAGCAGATATGGCTGCATGAAGAACAGGTTCCTCATGAGGCTGTCAAAAGTCAAAATAAACACGGAACCCTTATGAGGAAGAGGGATCACATATGCTATGAGTGACTATTTCAGAGACAGACGGACCTGGGGCCATTCTGTATCTTTTACCCCTACTGGTCTATTAATCTACTTGCATTTCCCCAGTTTTTATTGTCAAGGTATTATAAATTAGGAAACTTACAAAAGAGAGTATGTAATCTTCTCTGAAATGGCCTGCAGATATGTCACTGTACTAAATGTGTTTCAGATTTAATGAAGCTTTAATGTCCTTTTTAATTTTGCCTGTTTCTGTATCACCAGGGGTCGGGCAAGGCAATCAGCACTCAAGAGGGTGGTTTGGTTTAAAACTAGGAAAAAACTCATTTGCTTATGAGTTGCACTGTATTTTCTTAATTAAATTTACTGAGTAAAATGGTTTAAGTTCAGCCAACCAATGACCTTTGTATGTAGATTTAGATTTATAAATAGGTTAACAGTTAAAGGAAAGGGGGAAAAAAAAGAATTACAACAAAGCAAACAGATTAGGACTAAGCCAATAGAAATCTTTGCTCTCTTTATCATCTTTACAAAAGAAGCATTTAAATATAGGCAGCTTAAGTCCAGTTAGAAAAAAAAAATACTGAAAAATGTGGATGCACAGTAAGTGCCAGCAATTCATCAAATGACTCTCACATCCTTTTCATTCCCAGGAGGGGCGTGGTCAGTGCTGCAAAAGATTTGGAAAAGCTTTATTTATTTTTGGGGGGGGTGGAGGTGTAGGTGGAGATGGGGGAGGGAGAGGATTCTATTTGATGTTAGATAAAAAAGTGCACTTTAATTCCAAGTATTTAAGATTCAGCAAACTGCTAAATACTCTGTTTGTTGTGGGAAATTCACTATGGAAAAGGCAGAGAAAGAACGCCCTGAAAACATTCACCATCGGGAATACATTTCAATGACAGTAAACCACTAACATCTCCCTGTAAAACTGAAGCTGTTCCTTGGTGTCATCTTATGGATCTTTGATTTGTCCAATCATAATCTATGAGATACTCCTGAGTTAGCAGCATTTGAATATGCTGGATTTTTAATTTAAATAACAAATACGGGTGTGGGGGTGTGATCCTAACGACTGTCAAATGCATAGCCACTGGATGATGGAAACATCTGTATTTTAAGAGAAAGACGGTATTTATTTACAAAGCAACAAAAATGGCTTCTGTTGGTAACATGAATAATTATGGTCATGAAGTCACAAATGATAAAGAGAAAAAATACATTATAGCAAGAAAGCAAGTTGGGAATACAAAATCAAAATATGTTTTTGGTGAGTCAGGTTTCTTACAATATCAACAATTTGTGAGTAGTTTCAAATTTACAGTTATACTGAAGAGCCCTGGATTTTTTTAAAATTCTTAATTTAGACATATTCTATGTTTCTCAGCATAACTGCAAATTGAAAATAAGCATTTTCAATATAGCCCATGATCTAGCTGAAGGAGGACTTTACAGTCTGAAATGTTCTAAAATTTGTTCTTAATTACCTTGTGTACATTTTACACAATTAAATTTCCATCTAAGGATCTTGGATTTAGAATGTACACTGCAGTTAAACCTTCATTTTACAGAAATGCAGCAGCCACTTTGGAACATTCAGACACAGGGAAACTTTAAAAAAT